TCCCCATATGTTTTCATTCAACTCTTAATCCCTTAACATCAAATGCATTAGTTCTAATGGTCAACTTTTTCAGTGGTTTGTTCATTTGTTTAAAATGCTAATTTTATCATTTGATACGGTACTGTTCAAATGATAAAGTGGTTAATGGTCAATCTCTTTATACCTCGCTAGGAAGGGAAAGGGGACCTCATCGGAGAGTAAGGTATCGCGAGGGAAGGGGAAGGGTGGGGTTCAGAACTATAATATCGAGGTATAGAGCTATCGTGAAACAACTTAATGTTGATATCCTCATACCCTGACGATAAATTTGCACTATATTCAATCCGTTCACCCAATACTTACCTATCCATTCATTCAGTGATTTATTTGTTCATTTATTTATTTATGTACTTATTATCCTCACATATTTTCTGAATTTTTGTGAAAATTTTCAGTTCATTCATTCGTTTGCAATATTAATTTTCATTTTATTTCAACTTTCTCTCGAAATCACCAGAATTTTTTTTCTTTTTTTCGTATTCATGTTTTTTTCCTTCACCAGAATTTCGTGTACACGTACACGCTCGATGATTGTTTGTGCGGTTTTGTTGTACTTGAATATATTTTTCATTTCAGAGGTTCTCTTCGTGAATAAAATTTTTCATTATTATTACTATCAGTTCATTTCAACTCATTGTCAAAAAGTGACATTAACATGCTAATTTTACCTAATTTTATCATGTGATGCGACACCATATCATGCAAGTAATCATCCGATACGGTACCTATTATACATCAATCTAGATTACAAAGACATTACTGCGTAATCATTAATAAAGCTGTCGATTTATGATGAATATTGACCAATTGCATATTAGTTCCAATTGTAATGTTAGTGCTTTGCGTGACTGCGTTCGAACTTGGGAGCAATTTGGGAAAAAAAGAACAGTTGAGAAGAAACTTTCACCACGACGCGAATAATTTTGCACATTAATGTATTAAAGCGAAGCAAATCCAGCATGCAAATCATGACAGAACGTTACCAGATATGAGCCACGTTATCCATTAATATTGAGTACAAAAGCCTTTCGAGTTCGGATGTACAAAGAAACCACTAAAACAATTAGAAATTCGGTTAGGAAGCAAAATTGTCCGTCAGCATTTATGCTTTTTTTTATTCTCCGGAATCTGTTCTGTCAGCTGATGTGCATAAAACGATCATGCCCTGAGCAAATCTGTTAATAACTCTTGCTTGAATGTATCCATCGAGCATGAAAGAAGCTACTGAAAATTTTACGGGTGCTCCAATTATTGAACTAAATGAATACATCCAAATCAATGCATTCATTTCGTTTCAATTCATCCACTACGAAAACTCCTGCAGATGGAATCTAAGCTCAGAACTTACAATGTGGTACAATCGGCCCCAATTTTTGAGAATACAAGCATTTCCAAAATAGTCTATTGATACGTATCTTGTAGCTGAAAACCTCCATGATGTGAAGAGCACACGAAAATTAATCAAAATTATTCTTTGATCATCTCATGAATCGCCTGTCAGAGAGAGGTGAATTATTTCTCAGGATACACCATAAGAATCTAAAAGACCAAAGCAAAAACAGAAAAAAGAATCAGAAATAAAGTGTCAACAGTTTCTGAAGCAAAATCTCAACTATGATCCCCGTGCGAAAACAGAGCACACTACTGCTACTCTATAACGCATCTTTACAATCAGTTGCTTTGAAGTAGACAAAAATGGATTCTGATAAACCGCCATTCTCTCTACAGCTTCTTTCGGAATCACTCACTTTTAAGTACATTTAGCACACTTTGAATATCGCATTATAAAAACGTAAATATAAAAATGAAGAAAATCGGTAAATCAAAAGCGGAAAACCCAGTAACATGGCAACTTCTTCACACCATCAAATTCCACAGATCCTCTGCTTTCAGAAAAGTATATATTTCCTTCGATTTGCAGAACACAACTTCTGCTTCTTTGAAATGCATGCATGCCCCCGAATATATACCCTGATATACAGCTTCATCTAGTAATTGCACACTGCTCTATAATATAAAATTGTTATTGTTCATAGGCATCACACATGTAATGTTCAGTTTGCCTGTGGACTCAACCTTATTAATTGATGTCCGACTCACGGAGCATGATGTCAAGATTTTGAAAAGTATATATCATACCGAGTGAGAATTTAATAACATGGGATATTATTTCGTCTGAAAAAAATTGAAATGGGCGGGAATGCCGCCGTTCAGCTGTCTCAAAAACCTTTAGAAAACCAGTTACTTCTCTGAATGTAAGCAAAATCGTCCGACATTCATATATGCCTTATATATCAGAGCCTCCAATATCTCCTTATAAATGTATTTAGATGACTATGGAAATAACAGATAAATTACATACAATACATTAGATGCTAGGTGGAGTCCAACAGATAACTCATATTCTAGCGTGCAGTATTTCGTAAGCATATTAGTTATGATTATTATGATAGTTATGAATTATAGTTTGAATGATAGTTATGAATTTTTTTTGATTTTTTTGGTTATGAATTATTATTACTATTAAATTGTTATGAATCATAATTATGAATCATAGTTATGAAAAGGCTCGTTTCTTATCCACTCCTCTCTCTATCAAGCTAAAAACAATGGAGACAACGAAAACAACCACCCTACTCCATGCACTTATGTAGAGATGGAGGTATTACGATGAAGTCATGGAAGGGGACCAAAGTTTTCTACAATGAATGGTATGGTCATCCTATTTAATGCTGGGCGCTCCTGGAAAAAATACTGTAATCTCATGGAAAGGTTGGGCCAATTGATATGGCAATCAACACTAATGCGACAGACAACAGCGACAGTGCCTTCAGGCTGCCATTACTACTTGCCCATTAGGCATTTTAGCGGACTGACAATGAGCATACCGTATTTGTTTGTTCAGCTGCAATTTTTTCACAACTTTTTCATTTTCAAACCCCCAAAAATTCCGCAAGTGCCCGAAGGTGCGCAATTGGAAGTAACTCATTTGATAGAGCTTTTCAAGTTCTACAATATGTGCATAGTCATTTTGCTCAAATCTTGTTCCTTCATCCTGAAATTTGGTACTACATAATATGACTTTCATTTTTGCCCAACATTTTCTACTTTGAGACCACTCAAATGTTTTTAAATTAGACATTTCTCAGAACAGGATAGTACATATGACAGAGAATTTTATTCTCTACAAAACTGTCGCGATTCCTTCATTCATTCTTGTTGTGATATGATCAATGTGATCAAATATCAATGGTTGACATGAGTTGTGATATTCGTTGTAATTGATCTTTATGTTTGATCGGTATATAAGCAGCAACTGTATACAAGCAGAGCGTTTTGTAGTAGAATTCATTCCGTGTAAATTTTCATTGCATCGTCTACTAGTTGGTTTCAATAAAGTCTAATACAAGTGTGGACTCTACAACAACCATTATCCTCCAAAACATTCCTTTTCCAATATACTATCGGTATAAATTTTGCTCATTCAAGCGCTCAATCACACGCTGACCTGCAATTGCGCATGCTCTCGCTGACTCCGCCCCTGCACTCAGACGCGTTCTTATGGCGAAGTGCGACGTCGCCCTTCAGATGGTGGTATATTATCTTAACATCCAGTGACGCTTCCCGAATCCATTTGTCAATCTGTTATCAATGCATTAACGTCTTTATAACAGTTATAAGTAATTGCATGTGGAGTGAGTGTTGCATTATTTGAATGAATCCTAGTGATGCGAACAAATTTTCAACGTGTTTTTGTCTTCCTGAGTGTAATCAATGATCTAATTTAGCACTGTCTAAGTAACTTGATATTTTTTATCACATTTGCAGGTATTGCAAGTAGGCGAGTGTGTGCGCTTGGTTGAGTGTTCGTTTTCGTTAGACGGTTATCACTATGCACGACATAAAAGATGATGAAAGGGCGCATGCACAGTTGATTGAACAGTTCATTAAAATCACAAACGCAGCTCACTCGTATGCTCGTCACTTTCTTGAAGGTTCTTGCCAGTTTTTCATCTTTCATCAAGTTCAGTGTCGCGGCTTTATTGCACATATTGTACTTAAACAGTTATCAATGTAACAGTCCTTTTAAGCTATTACTTATCGAAAGGTTGTTTAATTATAAATCAAAACCGTTGATGAGTTAACGCTTCATCGATTTTCTTCCAGATATTGACAGCGAATTATATCCTTACCGCTTATTTCAAATTATAACTTTTTCGGTATGATTTTTGGATTTTGTAAGTATCGTTGATTCGTTGATTCATCTACCTTTATTTTAGAAAACGAATGGGATGTTGGGGTGTCGGTTTTGCAATATAATCGATGGAGCAAAAAGAGTGAAGAGCCAGCATCAGTCTCACCGTCAACCTCAAATGGTTTATCATCATTTTGTTCTCACCGTCAACAAATTTGTTGTCTCGAACAAATGAGAAGTGAAGAGCAGATGATTTCATTAATTAATGAATAATTGCTTAGTGAGTAATTTGAGGTAAAGTGGAGGAGCCGTCGAACAGCGAAAATGGCGATCCGGAACAACAGAGGAAGTGGTACTGGAATAATATGTCGAAGCATTTTGAGATGCCATCATGCGCTCTTGTTTTACCGAATCTTAACGCAGAATCGGATGAGTTCAGGCAGTTTTTGGAAAATGGTCTTATCGAAACGACCATCTTGAAAAAACTTGAGCATTCGGGTCATTATCTGATTTTTTTCTGTTAAATTCGTTTGTTTTCACTAATATTTGCTATCATATATCTGGTTTGTTTTATTCGCTTGCAAATTTATTGTATTCACACTTCTGCTAGACAGATAGTGAAACAGTGCTTATACCTGCATGTAAGTTTTTCTCAAATAAATATAACTACAGGACATCTAAATTGGTGGTGGCTGAATGGTTGTGGGCAACGTTTGTGGCCTTTGTGCACATCAGGTGATGGAAATTGCCTTTTACACGCGGCATCACTTGGGTTATGGGGACATCATGATCGATATCTGACGCTGAGGAAAACTCTACATGAAATGATAACAGAGTGAATATTTTTTGTTCTCAAAATTTTCGATTTCTTAGAGCATTCATGAACTGATTTTAATTAGCAGCGATTGATTTAACTGGATGGATTCAATTAATTATCTTGTAGTATCTTTGAGATGCCTGTTCGGTTTCGTAGCACATTTTCATATCCGTTCTTGCCGTTGATAAATGTGACATTCGGTGATGAATTAATTCAAAGACCAAATGACAGAATTGGAAATTCGTTTTTGTTTCTAGCTTTGTCAGTATTAGTGTTCAATTTTCCATTGGAAAATTTCATTTGGAGTATTGCAGAGGTAGTAGACGGCACACTTTGTATAGGCGCTGGCGATTCGCTGAAAGTAAAGCGAATCAAGCGTCTGGTTTAACGTTAACCGATGAAGAATGGCAGAAAGAGTGGAAGATCTTATTGAATGCTGCATCTACTACGCCTAGAAAAACGGGCGGACAACGGTTAATTTCACTGATATTCATGATCAGATTCAATCCGAATCCTCGAATGTTGCTATTGTCAGCTGTAATTTTCTCTTTTCATTGTATGTTTCTGCAGAGATGATATACAGACAACAACATCAAAAAGCGAAGAGGAAAATGTAAGCATAAGTACCGAGGAGTATTATGCAAGCTTAGAAACGATACATGTTTTCGCACTTGCACATGTGCTGAAACGTTCGATTATTGGTGAGTATTTGATGGCAATGTCTTGTTTCGTTCCTATCATTTAGCGCCCAATGTCTTCTTCTCATTTAGGTATTTTTCTACGGAAATATTGTGCAACGAATGACGAGAGTCATATATTTGCAATACATTTTATCAATGCCATCCGATTTTTTTTTCGTTCCCACGAAGCTGACAAAAAATTACAGTCGTATCCGATACTGTGCTTCGAAATGCAAACGGTGAAGAGTTGGCGCCGATCCCGTTCGGTGGTATTTACTTGCCTTTAGAGTGCCCATCTGAACAGTGCATACGATCACCACTGGTTCTTTGTTACGATTCTGCACATTTTTCTCCGCTTGTTTCGATGCGAACTGCACCAGACAACCCTTTGTTACGTTAGTTATTTGCATCAATTCATGATATAGGTCTTTTAATCTTTTAAATGCTTATATTATCCTAATCTAATTATTAATGATATGTTACCCTCAAAGTTTAACACAGATAGAAGAATAGAAACATTTTGAATTTGGTTTCGATTGCAGCAATAATGCCAATTGTTGATAAAGATCGCAACCTTCTTCCCGTGCATTTTTGCGTTGATCCAGGCCCAGATTTCACATGGTATTGGTTGTTATTCGTTCATATTGTTATGCTGTTTTATTTTATTTTGTTCAGCAGATATTAATGATAATCACGTCCAATTTTAATATGCGAAAGATTCATTTTTTGTAGTTAATACTATTATTATTAGTGTCGTTGTTACTGTTATGAATATTAACATTACTATTGTTTTCATTTGTAGTATTGATATTGCCATTTTGTAAAGCATGAAAACAATGCAGGTGGAAAGACGCAGAAGACGATCAGATGGCATCTCGTATTGAACTGAGCGAAGCTGATCGTTTATCACTAATTTGTGAATATATGGATGTCACCAAAATTGAGGTAGGATTTATAAACATCATATATAGGTTCAGTGCAGTTGAATACGTCAGCTGTGTACGTTTAAATAAAAGCGAAATGGAAAGAATAAAAGATATTCGATATATTTGTGTTGCAGATTCGTCGTGGTTCGCATCATTGGACTGTTGGCGCGCGTCATCTAAACAATAATAGCAATAATAATAGTAGTTTCGGTAGCGGAAATGAGAGGAACAAATCAATTACATTGGCTTGCGGGGGCGATTTAGCCAAAAAACATCATTCGTCGAGAATTATTTACGAAATAGCACAACAGATTAGAAAAACATTCAGGAGTTCATCGAAACGAAAGGTTTGATTTTGTCATTCCTTTAGAATCAAACTTCACATTCAAGTGTGACTAGAGACTTAATCTCAGTAGTGAACATTATCTGTTTCTACGAGAACGGTTTGTTACATGGTCTAATTCGTAAATGAAGTGTATAAATTATGTTTGCAGAACAAAAATAAAAGAAATTATGAAACGATAAGTGCTGCAGATTTGCTTTTTTCGCATATCATATTAGCAGCACACTTGGATAGCGAGGTGCATGAATCTGTAAAACTGATGCTTGATAGCTATATTAGTAGTGCGAAAGAACGCTTCGAAAAAGTTAAAGACGTATGTTTTCATTACATCCATTTGTTTCTTGTGCTCACTTGTCTTTCACTAGACTGTGGACACTTCATTAATTGTTGCCATAAAGTCACTGAATAACTATATTATTTTTGTTTGGTAGTATTTCAGTCATCAAACTCGAGAATATTCGCAATAATTTCTGATAAGTGACAAGTTTCAGATACCTTCCTCAGCGGTGCCGAAACAACGCAATCGAATATCTCGTTCATTTAGCACTTCGTCATTACGCATCAAATGCATTAATTCGGATTGTGAAAAGGTATTTATTTGACTTCTGTTCGTTTTTGACTGTTAATGTTGTATTGTTGTCGTTCGAATATGGTGACTCTCTCTTTCAGACCGCATCACAATCAACGAATTTTCTCTGTAGTGATTGTTTTGAATATCAGAAACAATTCATGGCTTCTTTTGGGTGAGCTTTATTGATTTATTTCATTAGTCCTGTTCATAAATATTCTTAACAGAACATGCTTACGTGATAGTTTTAATATCACCAAATTGAAGTTCTTCAGTCCTTTTATACATTCGTAGTTTCAACAGCTATTTCGAATGACAAAGATCATTGTAGTTTCGCAGTTGATCGCAATTTTGGCTTGAAATACATCTCAAGTGAAATATTTTCTCGTGAATAGTGGAATCTCAGGATGCTTATCAATGTATTAATGGATGGGATGTTGTAGTACACGACCAGGCCAGCTGCGTTCATTACGCTCTGCTACAGCAATTGATCGCGACGAGAATAATACTATAAACATCGCGTACAGCGATGGGGCAGATGCAGCTGCCTATGAAAAGAGACAACGAAATAGATGTCGTTCGGTTAAATCCAACACGATGCCGTTATTATCAAGCAATAATGATAACAATGTTAATAGCAACAATGATAATAATAATATCAATATCAGTGATATTAATGTTCGTAATCAACATTACGAATCGAAATGTAATGAAACGCCACGTCATATCGTACATACGGTTGCAGTTCATAATGCTCAACATCCCTCACAATCAATTACCACGAAGTTTGTTTGCACTCTCTTATTTCTGTTCTGAACAATTACTTTTTAATTTTCAATCGTTCCCTTTAACATGATACAATTCAATCGTGATAAAATTTGATGTAATGTGACGTTTCCGTGATGAAATTGTCCACTAAATATTGAAGTAATATTTCGGATGAGCTACTGACTGGTACGTTTATTTTCAGAGTATCATCAATTAAGGGTGCAAATGGTGTCACGCATTATTACGTGACATCAACATGAAGGAGTAACCAACAAGAAGCGATGCAAAATGGGGTAAATAGTATGAATACAAATTGGAATTATCGACTTCATCATATTGTATGGTTGAGGATTGTTCAGTTTATACTATGCATTACTGTATTAGATTTTACCATCACTAGTCACATTACAAATCCTTTTATACGTTCAATACAAACGTTTGTTTTTTATTTACAAATCTGCACATATCGAGTTTCATTCAAGCCAGCTTCGTTTGTTGAGCTTAGGTTTGTATTCTATTTATTTAATCATCTATCTTTTGCTATTATTATCTCTCTTGTTCTTTGTATCCTTCTTCAAAGAAAATATAAAATCTCTTTTATTCTCGTTTCATTTTTCTTTCAAACTCCCAGCTCTTCGTAAATTCTCTCATCCTGTTGCCGTCTCATTTTGCACACTTCACTTTTCTATTGTTTCTTTTCACTTGATGTCATAGTTTCCAGATGGAACGTTATTTGATTAAGTGCACTATAGGAAGCAACAATAATCGCATTGCACACCGCTATGACTGTGATATACTCGAAGCCAATTGTTAAATTTCTATTGCTTGTTATTGTTTCGTTATTATTATCGTTAATATTACCATTATCATTTTTATTATTACCATCATCATTGTAATTGTGATAACTGTTTTCCAATTTCTGTCGTTCTGAAATTATCGTAATTTTTTGAGCAGTATGTTTCATAGCGTTGTGTTTCGTCCTAAGAACAGGTAACCGAATCTCTTGGTTCCACTTAAAACGGCAATAGACTGTGGTATGGATTCGTAATGTCCTAGAAGTCGCTTAAGAGTCTCAGAGTTTCATCATGTACGTTGCGTAGTGCGAATAGGGACACTAGAAGAGGAAATGAAATGTATTGACATTTTGACTTAAATTTTTTAAGATGGACACATCCTTTTAAGTTTTTGATCTGAGGGATTCTGATGGCAAATTTCAGAGGCTTCAGATGTCTTCAGTCACATCGAGGTTTTGCATGGAAGTTCCTTCCCTCAAAATGGCACTGAATTGGAGGTGAACGAGTGCCCAATACCGCTAACGGCCCATATTTTGTACGTATTTGGTCGCCCTAGCGTTTGATCACTTTTTTTTTTGTATCGTATCTACGCTGCTCCTTTGATTCGCTTTATTCTCTTCTGCTTTCCTTATTTAAAAAAAATAGTTTCTTCATTTCTGTTTCGTGTTATTGGGAGGATAGCGGAAACTTATAGCTGTTGCAGAAGAATGCACCATATAATTTCTAATCATAATTTCACCTCAGTTTTATCACACCTATTGACCTGGAGGCCTTGCAAGAAGTCACCTCTTTTGGCGCAGACACTCAGGAGCTGATCTGAAACGCCGATCCGAGCGTTTTCAGCTGAGAGATTCGGAAACTCACAGAGATAACCTTCCATTTGTTGGGTCAGGCACGCAGAGGCTTCGTCTATCAATCCGCCTCATCCTAGCTTGTAGTGAAATGAAATTGATAATTTTCTTAGCGTGGATTTTCGGCGCTGATGTCATTGTAGCATTGCGCTTTTGTCAGAGCATATTCATCAGCCATTCGTTTTGTTGATTATTTTATCCGAACGGTTTATTGAAAAATATTGCCACAGGTTGCTCAACAACAATCAACAAATCGCTGTTTTGGTTTGCTCATATATTTTCTCAAAGAGGATCATTAACGATCACCTTAATTTATGTGTTGTTTTTTATTTTGCGCTTATTTTCATTTTTATTGCAATTAAATATGCCTCTCATCGACATAGTTGAAGGTCGTGAATACGTGATGTCTGTTGGACTAAATTAGATATTGCAATGTCTAGAAATGTTATTGTTTCAACACTTCGTTTATCACCTTAATCGAATAGTCTGCTTCTTCCGCAGAATCACTCGATCGTTGATTGGAAACGTCTTTTGACAGTTGAAAATACCGGAACTTTGAAAATATCCTTAAATTGGGTACTGGTTGGAAAATAAGCTCATTCACGAGTTCCAAGCGTTACCCGCAGGGCGTTTGCTTTATGGAGCGGCGAGAAGAAAATAGGGCTCTGTAATTCAGTTAATATAATATAATAGTTATAGTGAAGATAAAGTTGTTTATTCAGTTAAGTGAAATTCTGCAATTCGGGAGAGTTTTGTAACATTTGGTATGAGAAGAATTTTCGTGGTTCTGCTGTGCTCTTATTAAAATGTTTTATAAATTTTTTTCATTTCACTTCGTACAGCGGTCCGTTTTCATCACTATCTCTTCACTTGAGCAACACTTTTTTGAGTTAATAGGCATGAACAGGATTAACGATAATCACATAAACAAATTGAGTAAGCTGTCCGATTTTCAAATGATTTAAGTTACAGTTGCGTTATCTCCATCGATTGTTCGTATTTATTACTACTGTTAATTTTTGTTATATGGTGGCCGCCGTTACCTGAGAGGTGCTTTTATGTATGATTGTGTAAGCGAATTTTTAAAATTTATTGTTCACGGTTTAATGAGCGTCATTGAAATGAAGTGTTCTTTTTCATCAATAAATATGTATTTTCTTGCATCGTTAGCAATGAAAGTTGCAGTGGACACATGTTTAAAAAAATCGTTTTGCCGAGGGTTGCACCCAATTGCTTCTTCTCTTTCAATTGCCCACACGTTGGACGCTACGTTTCGGTTGGGATAGTACTCGAACTGATTGGAATTTATGCAAGCCGAGCAGGATTTTTGTATTTCTGTTTAGAAGCTTCAGATTAAGCGCGTGTCCGCATCACCAACCTAAAGTTTTATGGGTTTATTGATGGCATTACGCGTCATTTCGGCGACTTATCCTTTGAAGATACTAGCACTACCTCTCCATGAACTTCATACTAGTGATGCTAATCGACCGAAGCTTGGTCGGTAAAATATTTCTGTCGGATTCTAACCGAAGAATTTTGAAGCTCGATCGGAATACCGAATTTCGGAATGTTTAAGAGTCTGTTTGGTTGGATTCCGACCGAACTGTGAAATTTCGTACAAATATCATCACTACATTGTGCTTCAGCTCTCGGTATAATTACATCTGCTTTTTGTTGTTAAGAAGTGTATAAACTGAAAGTAATGCGAACTGAGTACAAAACAGTGCTCGCAACAAATTGTGATCCATCATACAACGAGAAGTAAACCTGCGATAACCATTCACGAGTAATTAAGTATGGTTTGGGTGCATTAAACGAATATAATCAATCTACGTGAGGCGCAGAACGGGACATTTGCAAACTTATACTCACTGGAATGAATTCATGTTGCATGGTATGACCTACAGATCAAGTACATGCTAATACTAACTGAAATGAATCCATATTGACTTATTGTGCAGTAGAGATCAAACACATGCTAATACTAACAATAAATGAAATGAATCCATATTCCACCTGAGGTGCAGTATAGTCAAATGCATACTCATATTCACTGAAATAAATATGTTCATTACGGTTGATCCTACATGATGCATGGTGGAAGTGTTCACGATGCAATGAACCTTAAAGTAAAATAACGTCACCCACTACAGAAACATTTCAAAGCAGATGCGAATCAGCAACAAAGAATCACTTTCAACACTAGATCACCATATGAGTTCACCTAGGGATCACTCGAAAACATCCATTGATGTGTCCAACTATGCCTTCAGACTACGCTTCAACCGCATCCACAGGTTCTCCACATTCTTTCTGTGTTTGCATGTTCGGATTGCACAGGTGCAATTTACTGATGATATTCGTATTGGCTGATGTTTTAATGGGGTGGTGTGAGTGACTGGAGGCTAAGGCTTAGACTTTTTTAGTGTTTGCACGGGATCCTACATCTCTTAATCACTAATGTACCGTATTCTGCTAAGGTTCACCGCGGGGTTTAGCCTCAGATTTGCCCTGGGATTCACTCCAGCTAACAATGAAGCTTAAGCCGCTGGGACAAAGCTCACCCAGAGTTCAGGTAATTTTGCTTGCAGCACCGAGCCTACTCAGAATAAATTCAGGACATCATAATACATCACAGCATAGTTCGTGTTTTCCAATGAGCGCACATAATGGTGAGCATACGTTCGCATGGCTCAAAAATCGAAGTAAAGCGAACTTTGAATGACTGAATAGCACGGTGCCACTTGTCACAGAGACAATTATCATAGACACTTACTTGTCTTTCTCCTAAACTACAGAGTTGCAGCTGGGATATATATATCACTTACGACTTTCTTTGATTATAGTTTTTGGAGCATGAAGCGTTTGCGAAAAATATTTGCATTCTCTTTCTTCGTAGTACGCATTCGTTGATTATGAATTGCACGGGAACTATAAGATTTCAAGGCTTATTTAACGAATTCTTTGAAATCGTTTATCGAAATTTCAGTGGATCCATCAAGTAATGCCTCGCACGTTCGATGAAGAATGCAGCTATATCGAACGTGTTTCCGAGGTGCAATTCCGCATCAAGAAAGGCTTTGTGCCGAACATGAACGTTAGTTTCTTCACGATTATCGTTTATTAGAACAATCTATTTCTCACTAATAATACTCGATAAAGCATATCAGTAACTTTATATGATGTTTAGAAAGTAATCAAGTGTAATGTTCAAGAGATACGTGAACATCAGTGTATATTTCAGTTGTTCTTTCGATATCAATTTTACATTGGCAAAAATTTACGAATCTAAATTTGTCACTTATAGATGCATGCAGTATCTTGTTGATAGTATTTGCATTTTACCAGGTCGAAGGACGCTTTTATGTGAACAAAGCATTAGAGAAGTTGATGTTCGACGAGTTGAGAAATGCATGTCGATCGGACGGAATTGGTGGATTTTTACCAGCGGTTAGACAGGTCGGCAATGTGGCTGCGTTACCAGCGATTGTCTCGGTAAATTTTCACATGTGCTTTTTGTGATCATTCCAGTGATTCTTATTGTCATTGTCACTTGTATCCATTTTTCAGGCTTCTATTGGACTGCCGGACATTCATTCAGGATATGGGTTCGCGATCGGCAATATTGCGGCTTTTGATGTTTCTGAGCCGTCTGCAGTCGTTTCTCCAGGTATGCCGTCGTCACTGTGAGCTGTTGTCATGATAACTTCTAAAGTTTGCTTGATCGTAAGAATTAATTTCATTTTGTGAATTTACGGTATGAAAGCAACTTTGACAAGTTTTTGGATATATTGTTTTTAATGATGCAAAAGAAAGTTTAAGGTGGTGTTGGTTTTGATATAAATTGTGGTGTTCGACTGATACGTACTAGTCTTTCTGAAGGCGATGTTCAGCCGGTTAAGGAGCAACTAGCGCAGTCATTATTTGATCATATCCCGGTGGGAGTCGGCTCGAAAGGTATTATTCCAATCGGTGCACAACAATTCGAAGTGAGTAGTTGTCATCAACTAAAACTGTATCCAACTCAGATTAACGCCAGAAGACAGCGGTTAGATCATGAAAGAGTACTACATTGTTTGATACTCTCTAGGAGTGTCTTGAAATGGGTATGGACTGGACGTTACGTGAGGGTTATTCATGGGCCGAAGACAAAGAGCATTGTGAGGAATATGGTCGCATGTTGCAAGCAGATTCCACAAAGGTCTCACCACGTGCCAAAAAACGTGGTCTACCTCAGGTTTTTTCAAACTTTTGTTTTAAATTATGCATTTGAACAGCTTTGTTTATTGCTGACATTTGAAGTTTGTTCCAATTTCAGTTGGGAACATTAGGAGCTGGTAATCATTATGGTGAAGTGCAAGTGGTCGACGAAATTTTTGATAAGTACGCGGCGAGCAAAATGGGTATCGATCGTGTGGGTGAGATGTGTTAATATTGCTTCTGGATATATTTTTCTCCTTTTTTTTTGCTTGTCCGTTCTATCTTTTAAATAAAGCAGAATTTTGGCATAATTATGGTGATCATTTGATGATTGTAAATGATTTAATGTAAATGCAAAAGTTGGTTTTAAGGGCAAGTTTGTGTGATGATACACTGCGGTAGTCGAGGTCTAGGTCATCAAGTTGCAACAGATTCTTTGGTGGCAATGGAGAAGGCAATGAAAAGAGACGCGATCAACGTGAATGATCGTCAACTTGCCTGTGCACGTATCAATTCTGTTGAAGGTTCCTTTCCTGTCTGCAAATTTTATTGGCTTTACTGAGTATTTTCATCACTGAGTGTAGCATTCGGATGAATAAAAATAACGGCTTGTTGTAGCAATGTGATCATCAATGATTAGGTTCATTTTCAAGACGAATTGAAATTATGTACTCTGCGCGGTACCAAAGAAAATGTTCTTGATGTTGAATTTAAGATTGGCTTGAAAAATGATTGTCCCTAATCTCTCCAAGCATTACTTGCGATTCTCTTTTTTTTTGAAAATATTATTTTAGATTTATTCGTCATATTATTCCGTAATGATGTTTTAAAATGTAGTCGGCATTTTGCAGGTCAAGATTATTTAAAAGGCATGGCTGCAGCTGCCAATTTTGCATGGGTGAATCGATCGTGTATGACATTTTGTGCGCGTCAGGTATAAATTATTTGTTTGAGTTTTTGCAGATTCATCATTTTACCTTATTCAATGTGATTTTTGGGAATTGATTCGATAGTTGTTTGGAGTGGATGAAAATGCTAAGATTGCATAGTACAATGCTAATGTGCCGTAACGAAACGGATGCTCTCCTGACTTTGCCGTTGTCGCCTTGTTTCTTTGTAATTGGAGATGTTTTTTGACAGATTATTGCAACTATCATTATTATTCGTCATTTTTTACTCATCTCGTTTGAAGGCATTTGCGAAAGTGTTTTCGATGTCACCAGATGATTTGGATATGCATGTGATATATGATGTAAGTCATAATATAGCAAAAATGGAAGAGCATTTAATAGACGACCGACCGAAACTGTTATGTGTGCATCGCAAAGGATCTACAAGGGCATTCCCACCTCATCATCCGCTGATTCCAGTTGACTATCAGTTGACAGGTTTGTTATTTGATTTGGTCAATTGAAACTTTTGATTGTTAGGACACCACATTTATATTTATTATTTGGCAGGTCAACCAGTACTGATTGGTGGTACTATGGGAACATGCAGTTATGTTTTAACGGGAACACAACAAGGCATGAAGGAAACATTCGCGACGACATGCCACGGAGCCGTACGTTCCATTTTAACCCTTAAACGATTTATTATCTTCATTGTTGCGAAAAGTGTTAAATTAGTTATTATATAATGATATTTTCAATGGTTTTTGCAGGGAAGAGCATTATCCCGAGCGAAATCTAGGCGTAACATCGATTTTCAAGAAGTACTAGATCGTATGAAAGCAAAAGGCATTTCTGTGCGGGTTGCCTCGCCCAAACTAGTTATGGAAGAGGCGAGTTACCGTCATGAATTTCAAAGAAATGTTTGTGGCCGAAAGAACACAGTGATTTAATTGAACTAACAGCTGTTATTTCAGGCACCTGAATCGTACAAAGATGTAACTGATGTGGTGAATACATGTCATGAAGCTGGTATCAGTAGAAAAGCGGTCAAATTACGTCCTATTGCTGTGATTAAAGGCTAATTCAACACTTCTTGAGTACTGCTTTCATCAAACTCGACGACTGCTTTTATGCGTAGGAAAATGTGCAAAACGATGATGTGATCCTGACTTGTTGTATATTTTTATCATTATTATTGCTACTCGAAGTTTTCTATTCAAATATACTTGTTATTTTGACTTATCTTTTTATCGAAATTTTTACACCGTAATTGCTCATTTTGTTATGTGGATTTGATATGTGCATTCTTCATAGGGTGAACAAGTAAAAACAAAGTCTAATTAACATTCGGAGAACAGAAATTGATAAATGCGTTCTAAATACTCATTGAAGTGGTGTGGTATTAGAGAGGAACGATAACACTAGTGTGATTATGAAGTGGTGTGATTTTTCAGAGATGATTTTCAGATGAAAGTCGGTCACAAACCAAAATTGAAAGATGGAAATACCAGCGCTTAGTGAATTAATGATCATCTTTTGCAGGAGTAAAGAGTTTAAATGAATGTTGCTCTATGAATGAATGAATGAATATGGCTTTACAATTATATGACTGGTAATTTCAACCGTTGTTGTAGTATCATGAACTTTATTTTTGAACTAACTTTGTTATTTTGACATAATATCCGTCCCGTAAACGTACTTCTCTAATAAGCATCAATCGCTTGGTGTATTTCAAATGTTTTCTTCAAATTTGTTCCTGTTGACCTTCATCAGTTTGTTTCGTGAACAAATTATTTCTTTGTTTTTTAGATGACGACTGATATACATATGTGCATGTGTAAAGACATCATCAATGATTCTTATCCACACTCTATTGGATGATCTTATTTCGCTTATATTCAGATTCATTCATTTGTTCTTCTCGGTGTGCTTATTTATTCATTTATCTGTCACTATTCTGCTTTTATATATTTTTATATGATCTATTTGTTGCTTTTGTTTTTGTCAATGGTTTCAAAGAGGATTTATTTGTTTTGCTGTTGATGAGTAAAATTTATGCACTAGTTGATGTTGTTTCTCCTCAAATGAAGAGGGTCGTTTCTTCGAGCAGTGGTGACGTTTACACGAAAATTGATATGCGTTCCACTGGTTGATACACTTGCTGGTGTTTTATTGTGTTATTATTTATGGAGTTGTAGTGCCGCTTTTTATTTTTAGTTTAGTGGTATTGGTTGTTTTCGGTGAACACTGCTAGTATTCTCATGGAATTTAGTGTTGTCGGCGTATCCTTGAATATTTCGATTGTTTTAATATGGTATTCTCATCTCATTTCAGAGTGATGTTGAACTGTCGGTGTGACAGGTGCGTGGTGTTATTGGAGTGTTATCGTATGTGTATGTATGGCAGTCAGTAGTGCTCTATGAATCAGACTTTTGAATAACAACTTTTCGAATTGCTGATTGTTTGGTTAGCTAACGTTCATTCGAGCATTTCGTGTTGTCGGATAGATCGACCAGACCTGGTATCAATGATTTCAGCTGGATACGTTCGAATTCAAGTACCGATCTGTGGTGAGAGAATGCACTGAAACGATGGAATTTTGCCAAACTTTTCAGAGAATTTTTATTGTTCACAAGAACATTATAGTTACACGTTATTGCACTTACACACAGCAGTTTTTTGTGTCGTTGTTTTTGATACTCTGAAGAATTTGTTATGTAGGAAATATATACGAGTAGTCATAATCTGTATTTTATGAACTCCTTGTCGGGCTGTGTGATTGTTGTAGGTGTTGAGGAGGGCACCGAAAATAGTAATGTTACTTTGATGTGAAGTTTTGCTGTTTGCTTATCGTTGCAGTGCAATGGCCAGTCAACTTCACTAAATCATTATATATATATATATATA